TTTATGTTTGAAGCCTGAAATGTGGCAAAAGGTTGAAAAGTTCAAGGGGGCCGAATACTTTCGCAAGGCACTGTATCTAGCAAGACGTTTGTTGACAGCATCTAGGGGTTGTCTATGTCAGCAGCTCACACCTGTTGCTAGGATGGCAGTAAAAAAAGCAATGAAAAATACTCTAGCACTGCCTAGAGGTTTATATAGTAACTGCAATAGCTATTACACCTTTTAATATTTTTAATAATTTCTGAATATATTTTTCTTTGTATGTGAACATATAATTCCAGATCCTGTCTTCACAAACAAATTATGTAGATTTGGTTTTAGATATTTGTCCAGTTTGTCTCAAATTCCTATCCTGGCAAGTAGACACTTCTACAAGATCTACAAGTATTTTCAGCCATTTTCCAGGGCCATAACTTGAGAAATGTATCTTTGAAGACAGGAAATTTCTGTCTGGTGAGTGGACACAGTAAAACATCTAGGAAGTCTGGTGGTTTGCATTTAATACCAAGGAGTTTGCTTTAATTTAAGCTTAAAACCAGGGTTCCCCTGTAAAAACATCCAGAGATATTACAAAATGTTTGAGGGAACAGGGGAAATTGTCTGAGGTCTCATTGGACTAACTAAAATAATAATTGCTGGACAGTAACTACTTGATTACATACAAATTCTTCCCATATGGAGAGTGTGAAATATAATTGTATATATTTAAGAAGTTATAACCCATCCCTTGTTTTTGTTATATCCTACAGTAATTATGCATGTGTTCCAAAAACAAAAAAATGTCTTCCTTATTTCCTCACGCATGTCCTGATTCATTTGATGCTGGATACCTTTAGAATAATGAAAGATTTCTGTCTGCTTCTCTTTTTTTACTGGCAGAAAATTGGCTGTGATGGAATCATTGGATCCTCAGCCAAAGAGGACCGCTGCGGTGTGTGTAATGGGGATGGCAAATCCTGCAAGATAGTTAAGGGAGATTTCAACCACACCAAGGGAATGGGTGAGTGAAAACTATTTCCATGTCTGTAAGAAATAATGTGAGCAGGGTGTTCGACAAATTCTAAAGGCTTAGGTGACATCTGATGCTTTCCTGCACTGATTCCAGCCTAACAGCATCACTGATGCCAGAACAGAAGCAGCAGGTCAACAGGATGTGATCTGGTCCTTTAAGGCAACCAGTGACCCCTGGTGACTTGGAAAAAAAATCCACACAAATTTTTTACTTCCCTGGCTTTTGCCTTGGGATAGGGAATCTTCGGAAAAAAACATTACAGAGTCACAGAACAATGTTTTTAAAAATGAGAGAATGAACTCATTTGCTTTTCCACCTGCTACTGCATTAAATCTGAAAGAAATGCTGAAGTGGTTCACAAAAATAGGGAAGGAGACCGCAGAAATTGTCTCATTGAATTAATTGCAGTAAAAATGTTCAGAAATAGAAATGGTAAATATGTTGCCTGGTTTTGTGAATCAGAACAGTTAATTTATTATAGGGAATACTGTGCGAAAGGTGAGGTGCAATGGTTTAATTGGGCATAGTTTTCACATGACAAAATTTGTAAGCTTTTTTGTTAAAAAAGAGAAAAGGGCACCAAATACTGTACAAAAGTCTAACATGTATTTTATTTATTGTAGTGACAGATTTACCAAGACTGACTTTTGAAAAGTATACTGTTAATACTGCATTGATGCCACACAAACAGCAGTGCCATGTCCTTCTCCACACCAGCAGATAGAACAGTAGGCTGCAAGGCACCTCTAGAACCAAAGGTCCAGTAGGGGCGATGGGTTGTTTTCTATTTAGATTTTAACCACTATGGGGTTAAAAACAAATCATTTGCTCCGGAGGTAAATTTTATTTTATAACTTGTTGGACACAATTGTTGTTAATATAAACAGTATTTAACAAACAGAAACTAACTGCTATTCATTTCAAGACTGATTTCATGCGATTGTAATGGATTTTCTATAATTCATAGTAGGACTCTTTCACATCCATGAAACAAACCAAGCAGCACTGATGATGTGACTACAGATATGATGATTATACATATAATAATATCTCCAAAATGAACATGAATGCTGAACAGGTAGAAGAAATGTATTATGTAGGACGTTAAGACTGTATATTCCATAACATATTTTTAAATTTGCTGCAAGAATCCTAATTTCTGTTTATGTCTGAAATTCCCATCCAGCTGTGTTAATGGTATGTTTGTACACAAAATTGTTCTACATTGTGAGAATGTGTGTTCGGCATCTGTTTCTGAGTATGTGATATGTGGGTTTACAGTGAAGACAACAACAGCAATGTTCATGATTTTAGCATGACTAAAACCTTCACAAATCATTTTCTGTTTCCCAGTCACCAGTAGCCATTGTAAGAAGGTTTCTACGTGTGTGATGTCAAAACCCAGGGCTGTTCCCAAGTGTTTTTCGTGTAAGATACTTGGTTGTGAATGTGCACCTTACCCGGTTGGTACTTAATGACCACAGATGTATGTGTCACTTCTCATTGGGTTCTCCTGGGATTTTGTATAAGAGAACAGTGGTGTCTGAGCAGGAAGAGGCAGAAAAATATTTTAGTTTCCAGTTCTTTCTCCAATAGCAGAGAAATACCTGCTATTGACAGTAGAGTGGTTGTAGCCCATATTGCACCATTTGGACAGAATTTGGACATTTAATCAGATTTTTATTCTATTGGGTATCTTTCATTATATTAATGGCAGTAGCCCCTTATCCAAAAACCTTAAACCAACAAACGTGGAAGTGGAAAAGTGGAAAAAACATTTTGCAGATCATAAACTTAGTGAGTGCCCAATATACTATATATCCTGAAGCCATTTTTCCATTTCAGTCCAAGGAAAATGAGTATGAATTTAATGCAGAAGTTTAGTATCATGGAAAACAATTTGTTCATTTTTTAACCACCATTAATGTAATGTATAGTTACTGAACTCTCCATTGTGCAGATCTTTAAAATGTTAAGACTATACTTAACACTATTAACTTATATATAGAGACTATATATATATAGAATATTTCAGCAGAAAGGATTGCTGTTGTCATACAATAAGAGGTACTGAAAAATAAAAAAAAACATTCAGTAATACGCTTCCATTTTTTATTTCTGATTTACATAATTGCCCCAGTCAGTATTATATTTTTTCATTTTTGAAAGATTAGTCACCTGTAACGTTTTAAAATACATTATTTTGCCATCTTATGTGTCTTCTACTTCTTGCAGTGTTAGCTTTTGTAAGCTAGCATGCAGAAGACAAAATAACACCAAGTGAGTAGAAATCCACCAAGTGAGTAGAAATCCAAACACAAAGTCAGCAGAAATTCAGCCAAATGGGTTTACTAAAAAGTACAAAAATAAACACTATACTGTATGTTACTGAAAACAATCTTGCTATAATCATATGTGAAGCTGGACTAGTCTAGAGACATCCCAGATACAGTAGAAATTGAAACAGGTTTCCTTGTATTCTAACTTGTTTAACAAGCTTATTTAATGATTTTCTAGATGTCTTTGAGGAATATTTTGTCAGATAAAGAAATATTCACCTAAAGAATCCAATGTTTTCTCAGAAATATACATTTATCATACTAGTCTGATTTTGAACATTTTTTACCAAATCACTCTTATTTTCCCAGGATAGCTCAAATGAGTGGCAGTGTATAACTAGGAGTGGGAAATTCTGTCTCCCCAGGATTATAGTTTAGATTACATGAAGTCAAATGAAGATGAAGTGGATTATTCCTCCAAGCATACCAGTTAGTGGCCACACTACTACAGTAAATGACTTTGTTACCACTCTGAAATAAATGTCACATATACATTTACAATACCTTTTTAATTTTTTTCCATACATTTTTACTGTAATTTTAGAACCAAATTGTGACCTAGCATGTGATATTTTTGGTTTCTAGCAAATAAATAATGTTTAATAATTCATATAAGACTTAAAAAACAGTTTTAGAAAATGCTAGGAATTACGATCTCTTATTGTGCTCAGTATGCAATGGTGACATCATCCTTGTGCACAACATGCTTTGATGATGTTATCTATGTGCGTATTATTCGTTTCTTCAATGGATTAACTATCTACAGTCTGGGTGAGACATAAGCAACCTAATGATAATGGTGATGGGTGCTTCTTAACAATCGTTTGATGTGTTTTTTTTAATTAGTAACAGCATGGTAGTAATTGGGACTGGGGAATGCGTTGGTGAATACAAAGTGGATTCTGTGTAGAGTGTCAGGTGGTAAACATAAAGCAGCTCATTGAAAGTTAGACATTTGAAATTGAGATTTTGATCTGCTCTGAATTGAATGGTTTTGTTTGGTTTTATAAAATTCACTACCAGCTAAACATTTTTACACTTCTGACTGATGCACAATACAGCTACAGTTCCTTCCAAAAGTATTTGGATCCTTACACAGTTTTCACATTTTTTTGCTTTAAAGCTGACTTTTAAAATATCAATGAATGTTAATTATAAATATATATCCTCTTCCACATACTGTATATAAAATTAATAAAAAATATAAAGAAGTGAATTGATAATTTAAATGAAATTACCTTAACAATCCAGCTGAGTGACCTCTTTCTTTAAGCAATAATAGTGGTTCTCATTATTTCAGAATCCAAAACATCACAGAAAACACAGAATCCTGTTTCTTGCTCAGGTAATGAATTTCAAGCAAAGATTCATCAATGAAGACTAAAGAGCTTTCAGAGTAACTCAGTAATAAAGTTGCATAAAGACACAGATCAGGGAAAGGGTATAAAACATTTCAAATCTCAATATCTCTTTGAGTGTGGGAAGTCATTCCTTCAGAAATGGAAGGAACTCAGACACTGCCTCCATCAGGTTGTTCAAACTGAGCAGTCAGGCACGGAGGAAACTGGTTTGGGATGTCGCCATGAGGTCAACTGTGACTTTGAAAGAGTTACGGACTTGAGATGGGAGAAAATATCCATGAGTCAGCAACATCCTAGTTATTCCAAGAAGCTGGTACAGTATGTTTGACAGAATGGAAAACCCATCTCAAATTCCATCACTTCATAAATCGTATGTTATGGAACAGAAATAAAAACATCTCAAATCCTGCAGTGGGTTTGCCACAGCCTATAAATTATTGCAAACGTGCTAAAAACGTTTTTACTCTAATTTAAAAGATGAACTTTATGTCTGACACAAATCCAGCAGAGTGCTTCACACAGTCATCACCATTCCCACTGTCTAGCATGACAGAGACGGCATTAAATTACAATTCTGCATCAGCTGAAGCTTGTCAACATGGATGGAGAAAAGTACTGGCAAATCTTAGAGGAAAACCTGCTACAAGAATAAAGCTAAAGTGACAATTCACCTTTCAGCAGGACAATGATCCAAAGCACAAGTCTAAAGCTACGCTGTAGTGGTTAAGGCATTAAAAAATATTTGCTTGACTGTTCCAGTCAAAGTCCCAACTTGAATCCTATTGAGAATCTGTGGAATGTCTTGAGAAATGCTGTTCATAATCTAACCCCAACTTGAGAGATCTTCCACACATCAATCAAGACGAATGGGCAAGAACTCTATAAAGATGATGTGCAATGTTGGTAGAGACTTATCCCCCCCAAAAAAAACCAAAAAACTGCAGACAAAGATGCATTTACAAAATATTGAGTTCACAGATCTGAATACTTATACAATCAGCTTATTTTATTTTTTTGCTTTAGAAATTTTAATTGTAAGCTATTCTTAGAATTCTTCAGTTTGCACAATCAGGTTTTGAATAAAATGTTATGTTTAAATTTCACAAAATAAGAACACCACAGGTATTCACATTTGCAAGGTACTGTACCTGCAGAGGACATAAGCTGTACTGTACCTTTCTTCTAATCAGTGTTTTAGAATGGTTTCTCCAACAAATGTCTCTGGTTCTCTGGAAAGAATCACTCAAAACCTTCTCCCTTCCAGTCTTGTTTTGAAGTATTCTTAAGTACAGACTTGTAAACTGCACAAATATGTGGAGAAGAATTTTACAAGTCTCGCACATAAATACTGCTTGCCAGGAATAAAAGTATATTTCCAGTGTTAACTAACTTTAAAGTCTTAAAGCGGCTGCACATAAAATATGTTTTAATATATTGACTTTCCCCTAATTGACAAACTTGGGTGGTACCAAGTGGTGGTACCACTGTTCATGGATGCAGCAGTAATACAAAATACATAATAAAATGCAGCTAAACATTGTTTTTCATTAATTGATTTAACGTGATCATGCGGGAATATACATTTTCTTTTTAATTTCTTGAAACCATTGCAAGACATTGAGCTGCTTTTTGCCTTTGCTGCCTGAGCTCTGAACAGGAGCTACACCAGAAAAGGGTGAACCTGGGATTCATCACAACATGCTTGTGAACGTTCTCTTTGGACTCAGATATTATCATATGGTTAGTTCAGATAAAACTCTGTTCTGGGAAAACATGTTGAGAATAAAGAAAACATTCTTAACATGTCCTTAATGACTTACTGTGTACCTGTATAGTTTCAATCATGATCACTGTTTCTGTTAATGTGGAGTTACTGATGTCTGGGAACCCATGATAAACATGAAGGTGTTCATTCAGACATAAACCTTCCTAACTTAGTAAATCAGCCTTCACTTCCACTTTAAACTTAAAATATTGAATCCTGGTCAGTGTGAAAACTACTGTATGTCATGTCATCAAGCTCAATGTGATATAACTATCACCTACAGCTGCTGTTGGAACATTTTCATTTTCCTTCTTCCTTACTTGTCAGAGTTCACCAATGTCTGTTGTAAAGAAAAGAATGATGAATTGGGCCTTGGGAAACAGATTCAGACTATAACAAGTACTAAGAACAGAGTTTTATCCAGGTTAATAATCATAACAAAAATTCAAAAAACATCTGACTTCAAGTGTGTGGTGAGCTTCTCTGTGCCTCCTAACCTAAACCAGGTCTTGGCTGTGTAATGATGCCCTTCATCACATGAGCTTCTATTGCTACAGGTTACATTGAGGCAGCTGTGATCCCTGTTGGTGCTCGGAGAATCAAAGTAGTAGAGGACAAGCCATCACACAGCTTTCTCGGTAAATAGCAATTTATTTCTGTTTTTAAAACGTTTTTGTCCACAAGAGTGATGTTTTGCCAAGAAGAACAAAACAAATATACAGTGTACAGCATTCTATATAACAGCATTTTTTTCTCTAACAGTTTGATAGAGCCTTTTTGTACAGTGTTGTGCTTGTCTGGTCCTCATTGTTAAATGTGGTATGAGCTCAGAAAAAGTCCCTGAAATAATTGTGAAAGCTGGGTTTTATTTTGTACTGTTTGATAACATTTTCTATCCTGCCATTGCATGCAGGAGCTAATTATAGATTTTAATGACTTTGGCAAGGAACTTTCAAAGGTATTTCCAGGTGTCTCTGTAAGGAGCTTTGAGCTTGTGGCTCAAAGTACTTGAGATCATGTACTTGTTTGCTAGTGAGAAACAAATTCTAACAGATTGCATAGTCAGGTTTGCATAGTTTAATGCAATAAACTGTTTTGTACTAGGTAGTACTGGAATTGTCCTTTTGAAGTAAATCGTCTGGTTTCCCCCATACCTGTACATTTCTAATCGAGGTACTTGCATATAAAATACTATATTCACTCAAACAGCATTTCCTGACCTTTTCAACTCTCAAGTTCAAGTTCAAGTTTATTGTCATTATGGAGTCTCTGGAGTCCTTTTCAACTTTCAAGAATTTCTGCACACAAACACATCATGCTTACTCCTGTTTTGTGTGTAATGGGTAACTTACTGTACGTCAAATGATGGCTGGTGCTGTTTCATTGATTCAAACACAGGACATCGATTTGAAGCGATGGCTTTTATTAGAATGAAATCTAATGCCACATTGGCTTTTTCTTTTCCAAATCCCCTTGTTGGAGCTTCAGAGCCACAGGTTGGGAACTGCTGTACTAGACATTAAGAAATAATGCCCTATCATTTTGGTGTAAGCACAATACAGGCATCCTATGTTGTTGCTGTAAATCTGAAACTCCCTTCATCCTTTTATATTGAAATTAATTATTGTCAGCTCATGTTAGCTGTTTGTTTAAATGTTAGCCTTAGTGTTAATGTGTCACAGTTTGTCAAAAGCGAGGTAATTAAAAGGCTTGGATACGTAACAGTACCCTAATTTATCAAGTAACCCAATTCCTAATAGTGGATGTTTTGACTTATGGTCTATTTTAAGAAACAAACCTAAGATATTACTGTGAGAAAAAGACTTCGTCCTTCAAACATGTATCTGTTGTATCTGTTTTAGAAGGTAATGGGATGCACTCGGCTTGCTGAACACAAATAGTTGTTCTTGGTGTCAATTTCTCTCCTTAAATTTCTGTATAAATCATAATTAGTCATTGTTAAACGTTTCACATGTTTCACATTTCAAACGAAAGCACACAGTAATTCAAGTGTACATGAAGCTGTGCAGTGAAAGTGAGCTCTGATCTGACTGTTTCTCACAACCTGCAACGGGAGTCCCTTCCCTGACAACCGAATGCTGTGCGACGTCTATAGCACCATTGTCCTCTACACTTTTTGTGGTCCTGGGCTTCTGCAGGTAGGCCTACTGGGATGGCATTCGGTTCCTAACTGCTGTTCTGTCAGTGAGATGAAGGACCTCAGGCATTCAATTCTGTTTCCTGGTTGAACTGCAGTCAGACTTTACATGACTTTATACTGTACACCTGTCAATCCTAAGTGAATGAAACCACATGTTTATAACCGAAGGTCCAATGTTCATATTATTTTTCCCTATTTAATTTGTTAAACATTTCAACATGTTTCTGCATTTTTAATTGCCCCCCTCACATCTATGTTCTTAAGGTAGAATAATTTGATTTCTGGCATGTGAAACATACAGATTCTAATGTTTAAATGTTTTTTTTTAATATGGATACCTAAAGACAGCTTACATTAAGTGTACATTTTTATTATTTGAACCCATGGATCATCCAGTAAACTTCCAACTGGAAACACTGATAAAAGGACCTAATCAGACTAAGCTCTGAACAGCTTTGAGGAATCTCTACAGCTTTGAAGTGTTTTGTGTGATCACTTAAAAACAGCTGATTATGACTGGGAGGGTTAAAAAACCGATAGATAAAAAAACCCCAATGTACTCAGTTTCACTTTGCATTCAGTTCAGACATAATCAGAGGTGTAAAAGTGGTGTTGGCCACTTGGATGCTGGATGTTTCATATATTCTTGTGTCACATGCTTGCTCTTTCACCACAATCAGTTCTTAGTAGGTCTCAATTAAAATAATCTACAAAAAGAGTCCTAATTTATTTATAAGGCAGCAGATGGAGCTACAAAAAAATCAACATACATTCCTCCATGCCCTTTATAAAAGGACCGGAGACCTTCCTCCCTGAACCCCTTAGGAAACCTCAGCCTCTGCCCTTTATTGTGGAGGGTCCATGCCCTGTAACCTCCCATACTTAAAGATACAGTACCATAGCCCTTTGTACATTTACACCGAATAAGTACACCATAATAACTAAACACAATATATAAAACATACCACAGTCACCAACAAATTATTTCTTCAATATACTTTCCTTAAAAAATATTGTTACATGGATAGTTATTTTTAAAACACCAGTGTTACCAAAGGGATGGTCCAGACCTAACAAAAAATGACTGCAAGCCATCAAACATTTCCAAGTTTCATACCTCATCCCTTATTTTTCTCCTTTGTTTATTTCTTTTTTCTGGCCTCCTACCACCATATACTGCGCAAACACAAAGGTAAGATCTCAATTAGTTTATTTCCTTTACTTTAGAGGTCTGCAACACCCTGCAAGCAGGGAGTGGGCCCCATCACTTTAAGGTAATAATAGTAACTATAATATATAATATAATTATTGAACTACCTACTTCAACTATAATATAATGATTATTAATTATATATTATATAATATTTATTATATTATTATCAGTGTTAAATAGAGAATCTGAAAATCTCACCAGCACTGCCACATATTATATACACTCTGGAATGGGTATTAAAAGATTTATAAATATTTTGTTTTGATTGTTTGAAACCAGAATATAAACAAGAAGATGAGTGAAAGGGTTCTGGATGCTGCGTGTGGGTCTACAAATTCTCAGGTTTCCTAATCTTTAGACGGAGACTTTTTTTCTTACTGTATGAAGAGTCAACATCAGTGGATAAGATGTGACCCTTCACATATTATCGAAACAGCACACTTTTAAGTGCTTAAAACTATATAAATACAGCAGAAATGAAATGTTTTCTTCTACCCAATGCTTATTTTAGGGATCTTTTAAAAAACTGCTGTTCTCACGAATTGCCCAATAGTGAGTGGCAAAAGCAGCTACAGTTAAGAAGAAAGATATTATTATGGGAGGAGCAAATGGTTATTTTTTAGAAACAGGATAAATTGTCTGCAGACTTTCTGGATCAGGTTTCTTTCATTTATGGTTTTATTATAGCCTTTGTGTAAAAGTCCTGTGGATCAGTCTAGTTTAATCTTTAATATTCACAACAATATGTAACCATGGGAAAATTGCTATGTGTGTTGAAACTATTTTATAATTACAGTGTATATAAAGTTAGTTCTATAAATAAGGTGCTGTATATGAAGTGATTTAACTCTGTACATGAGCTCTTCAAAGACAGAAAGCATTTGTAATCCACAAAGTTGCTTTGGAAGTAAATTTAATGCTCTTCCTTTGAGCGGAGAACATCTGTTCTTCAAAGCACAAAAAACAGTTTCCTTTTGTATTACTCCACACATGTTGTATTGAGTTACACTTTATTGCAAACATCCCAGGGATATTTCTTTAAAAAATGGTAGATTGGAGAAAGACCTTAGTCTTTTCCCTGTGCTGTTTTAAACCTGTAATCAGAGGAAGTGTCAAACTGATTAAACAGGATACTGAACTGAGCTGTAATTCTGGTGCTTTCAGTTGTTTAGTTTTTTTTGTCATAGTTAAATAAATTAAAACAATCATGATAATATTCTGTGATATTTCTGTTGCTATACAACAGGGAAAAACGGTAGTAGGTGCTCTGCCTTTACTGTATAATTTTTTTTGCACCATAATATTAGTTTTTTGTAAGCCTGATCATGTGACTATTTTTTGTTGTGGATTTAGGGCATGTAAAAGGAGAAAGTCAGTGACTGTAAAAGCATCTATGCTCTTTCTTGCTCTGACACAGCATTTACTGTATCATGAGACCTGACCAAAGCAGTGCTGGTGTGTGTCCTATGATGGTGCAACGTGGCAGCATACTGTGTGTGTTACAGGGATGTGCGGAGCGGGGTGGCGATAGTGGCTCAAGCCTCTGCCCCTTTGCACAAATTGGCCCAAGTGCCCTTTTTTGCTTGTAGAAAAAAAGTCCAACCAATTGCATTTATTTTCGCCACTTGACGATTCTGCTTCTGTATTTAACACTTCTGTGTTAAACATTTGTGAGCGGTGAGAAGATACACAGATTTTTCAGAAGAACTCTACAAAAGCAACACACCAAGGGTGTCATATGGAGCACTTTGTGTATAAAAAATACTATTTTCATTCACCTATTGCAAATTGCCATGTTATTGTCTGCATTGCTACTTATCTAGCTAGATTTGAGATTTTCTTAAGAAAATTTAGTTAACTGAGTAGACAAGCCAACCTTTTTGTATTTGATCTAAACAGCTAACATGCATATTCTTTGTCGTATATACAGTATATATGGTTCAATCACAGAAACAGGAGAGCATGCCTTCAGAAAAAAGAAGGAAAAAAAAAAGAATTTAGGGAGGCAGCTAAAGGGAGTACATTGCTTCATAACTGGGTCACAGGTAGCAGCAGAAGAGTCTTGCCTCACAAGAATGATTACATTAGTAAATGTTGTATGACTTTTGATGAATATCAAAACTGCCTGTAGCCTATTTACAAAACATATACAGGCTGTATGAGTAGTAATTACAGAGATTTCTACATTTCTGCAGTAATGTAGAAATATAAGCGGACACTGATTTGTGTCCAGGATACTCTAATGTAACAAATCCTGCCCTGGAAAGTGCCCCTTCTCCCCTTTTGAGCCACTGCCCAACTAAAGGTCTCCGCACTTCTCTGGTGTGTTGTGCTAGTGCAGTGTGGCAGAGTGTGTGTTGTCCTTGGGCAGTGTGTGTTGTTCTAGTGCAGTGTGGCAGCATGTGTAGTACTGGTGCAGTGTGTGTCAGGTACTGGTACTGGTGCAGTGCCATGCCCAGGAGGCATGGTTATATTCTGCTCGTCAGAAGTGAGAAGATTCTCACAAATCAGTGTTTGCGAACTTTGTTCTTGCAAGCTGCTTTTCTGATACACAGAGTAACCCTGGAGATGAGGAAAGACATAGAGCAGAGTTGTATTGTTTCATTTTCCCTCTTCCTTCGAGCTCCACATTTTTGTGATTTTTTACAGTTTAGACTCATTAATCAGTACTGTATGTCAATTATGTGTAGAAATGGATATCTTTTACTCAAGGAAAGTAAAAATGACCTTTTTTAAATTATAGTTCTATTTTAATTGTTTGAATGGCATTTTAAAATAAATTCCATCTGTCCTGCCCATCTCCTAAAATAATCATAACTATTAAGTATAATTTTGAGGTATCAGAGGTTTTCATAGTATCAAAAGTTTGGTTTGTCTGAGCAGTCACACAAAGACTCTTAATAGAAGTGTCCTTAAACTTATATGTTTGGAGAAGCTTTTTTTTTTTGGCTTTGTTACAAAAAATTCAAATCAAGGACTCTTGGAGATTTGAGAGTTTTTTCTGTGCTGCTTTTGAATAGTTAACTCATTCGTGACAAAATTCAGTGCTGTACATGGTTACATTGAAAAAGCCTTTGTAATTTAATAATAGAATTACAGAGATAGCATGCTGTCATTCTGCATTTCAATCCCAATACATTGATCATATATCTTTCTTTGTGTGATGTTTTTATATTGTGTATATACTGTAATGTGTTCACAGATTTTAATGACTGTCCAATGTTTACTTCAATATTGATTTTTTAGTATTCTCTCATCCACTCAGTCTCTTCTGTTTGCTTTGATCTACATAAAAATCACAGTGTTTCTCACATCAAGCCAATGCACAAAAATATCACCATTTCTTGAGAAGAAAAATGTCAGTAAACTAAATTATGCCTTCATAACTCAATCTACACCTCAGCATGCCTTTGTTGTGGGTATTATGCATTAGGCCAAAGGCCTGCACAAATGTCTTTTATTGTGCCTTTGTGTTATCTTTTATTTTCACCTTTGCTGTTATATCAAATAATTTTATACTTATAACTGTAAAAGCAAAAATCAAGAACAAATCAGAAAAGTGTGGTGTTCTTGAGAGGCTTAATCAATAAAGGCATTAACTCTGAGTACAGGTTGAGGTCTATGATCCAAACATCACATGTTCAATCCCTGGTCATCTCACTGACTGACTGAGACCAGGATTCCGAAGCAGCAGTGAGCTTCTTCATTTGCAGGACAACAGGACAACAATTCTGTTCCCCGAATTACTTTTGCACTGTTTCTGTCCTGTTGTATTCTTTTCTCTGTTAGCGAATTTGCACAGTTTTGATTACACTGTTATGTTATTGTATTGTATTACTGTCAATTGTCTTGTCTCCTGTTCTATTTATATACTACACCTGAGTGACTAATGAGAAACACTTTTCCCTATACTATGCACTATGTGTAAGTATAATGACAAATAAAGTTGAATATGAAAAGCAACCCCTGTAAAAAATAACTTTCTGGGTTTTCTGCAGACTTGGACATCCATACATGATGGATCCTGAGAGCCAAGACAAAGACACAATTTTATATTAAATGTGCATATCATATAAATTATTGGCAAATCCAAATCTATTTAAAAAAGGAGTTCAACAAGACTGCAGAGATCAACATATTGTAACAGTTACTATATCTTCATGATGGATTCATAGCTCTTTTATTAAACCTGCTCAAAAGATATTAACTGGGAAAGGCTTCCTTAAATGCAGTGGAGAGAAGGGGAAAAAGACATATGAGAGCACAATGTGGAGTGGTTCGCCATTGGAGCCCCTTTGTTAACATTCACAGATGTGTGCTTGTATGTCCTTGCAGTACTGGAGTGCATCTTAAACAGTGCAGATTATCAGTGCAGTTACACTGATTGCCTTGTTTTGTCTCATGGTCTTGAATTTCTCAGCTTTAAAAGACTCTGGCAAGAGATCAATCAACAGCGACTGGAAGATTGAACTTCCTGGGGAGTTCCAGCTAGCTGGCACTACTGTCCGCTACGTGAGGAGGGGACTCTGGGAAAAAATGTCTGCCAAGGGACCCACTAAAACACCCCTTCACCTAATGGTAAAGTCATTACCCTATGTTTGTATGTCTAGGGAAGGCTTTTCTTTCAACCTCAAGACAGAGCTTATTTTAATTTCTTTTACAAATTCATGAACTCTTGAGTCCTGCAAAGACTGAGTTATGTTATAAATTCAAGAAATGAAAGTATTTAAATGTAAGCGTATTTTAGTGATTTAGTATATCATGATCTACAGTAAATCTATATGATTTAGAATATCATTAGCACCTTTTAATGACCATCCCTATGTGTTTTACAGTTAAAAAAATATTTTGAGAGAATGTAGCTTTACAGTTTAAACATATTTTGAGAGAATGTGATTCCAAATATACAGTAATTGGGTGGTTTATTTGCATAAGAAACTTGTGAAATTGTAGCACTTTCTCTCTTTGTGGTATGTTTTCAGAGAATTTTGGTCAGCCATACATTTTAAAGCAGTTCAGGTGGGAAGCTGCGTCAGCATGCGTAGACTGCAAAGGAACAAGTAATACTGTAGGTTTATTCCATGCTGAAAAGAGTAGAAAGAAAAAACATTTTGGCTGTGGAGCCTTCTTCGGGTGTTAAATTTCACCTGAAATTTAACTCTTTTTCATTTTAAACCAGGTTGGATATAATTAATATAGATAATTAAGAAGATGAAAGCATTTATTAAGTGTAAAGTGTTAAACATGGGTGATTTGTTAGCCAATATCTCACAAAGTTCTAGAGATAATTCAGCAAACAAGTACTTATTTGAAACAGTATCTCTTAAATGAGAGAGCTTTTAAATGCTTAATTGTGAATGTAATTTTTCTTTTTTTAAGAAAATACTTTGCATAATGAGAGAGATGCACTATTTCAGTTTTTAGTTATCTAATGGCTACAATTCCAACAATTGTGAACAAGAATCAGCTACTTTAAAAATTAAAACAATCATTTGTCTTGCAGAAGAGGACAATACTGTGTCTGTGTCAGTTGACTCACAAATGCAGACCAACTTTATTTTGAAATCAATAGCGCAGGGAAGTCTAACTTAATAGGGCAAGTACTGTATTAAAGGAATTAAAGAGTGCTTGATTTCTGTAGGTTAATGTCTCTAAAGGTTTGCCAAAATATTTAAGTTATTTATATTTATAAATAAGACTGAGCTTTTCAAATGAAAACTGTGAACTTTCTTTAATGTTCCTAGATAATTGTTGAGTTTATACACATTTCACTTTTTCTAAACTAAATATCTCTTAACAATAAATCTGAGGTTTCATGTGCATCCCTATGTCTGTGTTTCCATAGACATATACAGTAATAAATGACCTCGTCTGAAGCTGTGATTTATTGTAGTCCTGTTAGTAAGTTCCTTACTGTCCTTAAGACTGAAAGACATAATGTACTTGTTTATTGTTAATCATACTGAATAAAAGATCAAATTAACACAATTGCAAAAGTGCATTAGGCCTGATTATATGCAGTGTATTCAAAGGGAGACCAGTTATCTTTCTTAAGGATTGTGTATAGCTCTCTAAAGCGCACTACCCCCCACCCCCCCACCGCCACAACACAAAAAAAAACACTTTCTGTGGAAGTCACTTGACTTTAAAGTTAGCATTTTCATCTTTTCACTAACATTTGACAGCATTATTCATAAGCCTGAAGGCACTCTTGGAATCCATGACGTTAATGCCTGACCTTGAATGAATGCTCTGGTTAATTGCTGCTGCTCTGCACTGAATTACTTCCCTACTATTTGAGACATTCTTTGCTTCAAGCAGCGTCCTTGACTGCAAACCCTGGATGTGCTTTGGATAAATTTGATACTTACAAGCATCAAATATTTTCAAAATGATTGTTAAAGAAGTACATCACATCAAGAAGGTGCTGTCCAAATCAAAATGAAAACATTCACACCTGACTCATAGTGACTGGAGTCAGAGGAGTGATTGTAACACAGTTTCAGGATTTTGGACAATAAAAAATTAAACAGTACTGAAAGATTACAGAAAATGTGTTTGTTTCCTTGGACAAAATAATAGAACTAATTAAAAGACCTTGAATTTGAAGTAACTAAATTACATTTATAAAGGATTCTGCATATGTTTCAGATTAATTTCAGTACTAATAACCAATGTGTTTCTTCTGTAAATGTCTTAAAATCAACAGTTTAAAATGTGAGTTTCTAGAACAACACAAGAAATCTAACAGATTTTCATAGAGGTCAAGTAGTTGGTTTCTGAATTGCCGCAAAAACTTGCAAAATAATTTTATGTGTCAAAGGAAACGGTGTCAAACATCAAGACGGCATACTCCAAATCAAGGAAAACAGCATCAGGTTGAAGTCAAAGCTCACTGACAGGGATAGATAGATGCTAAACAGGATAGTTGCCAAAAAACTGCCTCATAAAATACCACAGAACTGCATCTAGAACTCCATGACCCAGTCTCAACAAAAACTGTGGTGTGAGCTTCACACAACTGATATTTACTGTAGGTCTCCCATTCAGAAACCATTTGTAAAAAAGGCCAATGGGAAACAAAACGTAACCTGGTGAATGAGCAGTAAACCCAGACTTCTTAGCAATGGAAGAACGTAATATGGTCTGATGAGTCATCTTCCACTCTTTTTTTTACATCTGGATGGGTTTGTTTGGAGAAAGTCAAAGGTAGAAAGAAAGGCAGCCTTCAACTGTTTAAACTCCATACTGTTTGTTCCCAGTTGTTAAACATGGTGGTGGACCTGTTAGGGAATGGGCAGCCATCTCGTGGGAATAATTGGGTCCAATTATTACTCTGCATGAAAGAATAATGGCCAAGGAATACAAAATCACCTCAAAATCACCACAGCCTGGTGCACCTAAATATTGTTTTCTCAAGGTGTTCCCATATTCCAAGATGATAATACCCACATACAGAGTGGTTTTGTGAACACCTGGATGAAATCAAAGACCTTCCAAGGACTCTTCAGTCAACAGATCTAAACATCATTGAAGCTTTATTGAACATTCTGAAACACAGAGTGCCAAGTAGATTTCTACCTCCTTTATCTCTCATTTAACTGGAGGCTTACCTTTTCCTTTTATTTTTTTTCTTACTTGCAGAAAGAACTTCGTAATAAATTGCTTGTATGAGCAACATTTTATTAATAATGATTTACATGACAATCCAATTATTTTTGAATAACAGCTGAGTTCTTTCTCAGTTTTGTAGAGAAACATGCAAAGATTTTCTTTTGACCTTTTCAGATTTTGGGGGGTCTTTATTTGAACTTTTATAGGAATTTTTATTAAAAATGACAAGAAAAAAAGCGGTGTCTTTCACAAACAGAGTAATCCTAACTCTCCACACACATAGTTTTCAGAAGATTATGCAAGAAAAGAATAACTCATGAGTGTCACGATCGCTACTCCTCCTCTTAAGGGCGCTCAAGCCCTTCCTTGTTCTGCCCCATTACCCACACCTGTTCCTTATTCCAGCCCCTCTTCAGTTCCCCCTTAAAAGCCAGACGCAGATGTCATTCGAGGCTCTTCATTGAATTCAGTTTCGTGAGAGCCCAGGTCCTGCTGCATCTGGCTCCGTTATGGTATTAACTTTCTGTTCCTGATCCCCCCTGCCGGTCCCGACCCAGTTCCTGGTTTTTAATCCATGGCCATGGACTTATGCTTCTTAGGTTTCCCGTTTGGACTTTATCTTGGATCGTTTGCCCCGGACTCACTTCCCCTGGACACCTAGGACACGCCCCCCTGTCTCCATATCGGTCTCCTGCATGACTTTTTCCTAGTGTTTCCTCACTATTCCGGATTGTGTCGTCTGCATAGGGCCCGGAAAGAACTGTTCATGACAATGAATATTTGTTTTTTATGCACCAAAAGTGTTGAACCTCTCTGCAAGTGAGGGCTGATTTAAAAGGCCTGAGAATATTTCCCAGTAACCCATTACCTGGGTTAAGCCAGGTTGACTGAAAAATAAATCAGTTTTAATTTTCAAAATTCAAAAATGACAAATCACTGAGCTGAGCAAAACATAAAATGTAATGATAATATAATTTTCATAGTCATCCTGAATTAATATAAAATATTTAATAAAACATAATTTAAGCAGTACATAAAAGATTTTTAACATTTTTGCAAAATGAACTGTCAAAGTTAAGAAGCGCTAGAGTGGTAAAAATGTATGTATTGACCATGAGCCTATCCTGCAAGTGCTACTGTTTTAAAATAGAATTCCAATTCATTATTTCCAAACAAGGTCCTGCTGTTTCATGACCAGACCTGTGGAATCCATTATGAGTATACTATCTCACTGAACCAGTCAGTGGAGAACAGGAGTGAACCAGAGAGGGAGCCAGAGCCCCTGTACATCTGGACTCACAGCAGCTGGGAGGACTGCAGCGTCCAGTGTGGAGGAGGTCAGTTCTCATCGTCGCTCATCATCAATACTGTTCTTTGTAAAAGCTTAGTGTGCTAAAAGCAGAATAAAGTGTAGCCTAGCTGAATGAAATCTTTGCCAAGTTGTGTTAAAGATAATTCAAACCACAGCAAACCAAGGCACTGCTAAATGCACTAAGTGCAGTGCATGATCATGGTAAAACCACAGGAAAAATCAGTTTGACTGTGGTAGTTATTAAAAGGATATTATAAATTCTGGCATTTTCATCTCTTGTTTACCCCTCAATGGACTGTATTTTTGATTCTGTGGGGAAAAAATAAAATGTGCTCAAATACTATAGTAATGCTTCTTTTGACAGAAAACAACTCAAAGTTTTCATTGTTACACAACACTAAAGACAGCGGGACCTATATGTCGCAACATGATTTTCTGCATCTATATTTAATATTTTGTTTTTGATGTTTATTATAGGTTGTAAAATAGTTTGATACATGGTGTGCAAGGTACATTGTTTTCATTACATCCACAAAATTATGAGCTTAATGCCTTTTTCAAGGATGATCAGTGAGATACATTTATAGAATAAAGATTCACTCACAAACAATGACAAAGAGTACAATTGAGATCAGTTTCAAGATCAATTAAGATTCATCGTTAGTGGCACAACTCACACCAGGCTCTTTGTGAGATTAGATTGGTTCTGCAGTCTATTTTCCCAACAGGACATAAAGAGTTAAAACCATACCAAATGTCCACCCATAGAGCACAAGGCAGTCTGCACAAGGACACTATGGTCTTTGAGCAAAGCCAAACAGGTAGACGACATAGTCCTACCATCAGAGTTTTATGATCTTTCTCAGAGTTACAGTAGAAACCTAAAAGGTTTTAGTTTTCTTTCTCACTTTAATAGTCATATACAGATAAAGAACAAAAACATTGCTGACTGGCACAGGTGCATTTAAGCAACAGTGTATTTTAGTCACAATTTCTATGCAAGTTCCTGAGAAGCTATTTGCAGTTTTTTTCAGTCTTACAGTGCTATGTCAGTACAAGGCAAGAACACAAATTTTTCTGTATCTCTTTGAAAATCTGGAGCCTACAATAAGGATCTAGTAATGAGGTTAATGATGTGACCAAGAGCTAGGCAATTTTTGGATAACTTTTTATTGCTATGGATGATGTTACTCTTCATTCACTCAGCTGAATTTACTTTTGGTTTTAGTACAGTGAGATGGCTAATTAAAATGTATCTAAAAACATTTGTTTGCATCTTGTTTTCATTAAGTCTTATTTCTATGTAATTGAATCATGCTGCTCCTGATTTGAAGTTGAACATAATGTCTTTGGATGAAGTGTTGGCAGGACACAGAAATTTGGTATAAGAGCTTTTATGGGCGTGACTGAATTTATAATTTTTGTGAGTTGAAATTGGGGACAACTTGTTTTTTCTGCAGGCATGGAATGTAAAGAAAGGCTTTATGTTTTGTGTATTGTATTGTTATTGTGTAGATGGTCTCAATGTGTAGTAACTAATCAATGCAGACATCACAGATCCCCTAAAATTCTGTGGAATTACGCCTTTATGTACAGTATTGTATTGGATGATGGCCAAGTGCAGTATCTGGAAGCATTTCCTGTATTTGGAAATTTTTTCTACACAATCAGACCATGTCCAATATACAGTGTATTTTTAATGAATTCTGATTTTTGTGAGTAGTCTCAATAGGTTATATAGCCCTTTTCATTCCCTCAACCATGTTTATTCATTTTAGCTTGGGGATTTTTTGTGAATTAGTGGCTAAGATGAAGGGAGATTCTGGGAATTCAGGGGACAGTGAGGGGTGGTGCTTCCTAAAGTGAAGTGTGAGCATGCTTTCTGATCATTGACCCTAGTGCTGAGTGCCATTCATGTGAGCCTCTTCTGACCTCACCTGTGACCAGTGTGAGAGATGTTGGAATTGGAGAAGGAGAGGATGAGCAGCAGCAAATCACTGTCATAGTTCAGGTCCCCCCTACCTCCCATTTTCCATTGGGATCCTAGCCCCATGCTGTTGCCTCAGCCAAGTGGGTTAAGCCAAGCTTACTGTGACTAAAACACTCAATAAGCATTTTCAATATTACTTAATTGTTGGGTGTTATTATTCCTACTAATATTTGTATATTTTTTAAAGATGTAGATACAGACTGAAATTTAGTTTAGTACAAAGAAAAAATATTCTTAAACTAACATATATTCAGAGTTATAACAGGCAGGGTCATAGGTTTTTGACCCAATTACCAACTAATCATATATTAATATGATCCTTTTATGTTGTAATCCACTCTGGATTACATTGTACTTTATATAGGATCCCTTTTTATCCCAGACTGCTAACTGCAAGAAGATATGAAAGGTTTATTGGCTGTACATTCCATATAGATTCACCTATGATCATGTAAATAAAACTTTAGCCAAACTAAAATGTATATTTAGCTGCAAAAATAACAAATATATCAAAAGTGCAAATTATTTCTTGACATTGCCCCCTGGAAAATCCTAATCAGAATGCAGCTGTGTAACTAGTAACCTCATTAGTTTGGTAACTTTTTCTAATTTGGTTAGAAAGTTTCTGTGGTCACTTAAGATTGAATGGAACATTTCATTAAGCCTAATAATATTATGACTAAGCCCTTGAAAAGCTATTCCTTTCCACAGTTGCTGCAAGTTACACTGAGGAAAATATTTACAGCCCTAGCCTTAAGACTTAAAGTGTGACAGTCTTTAAGCACAGCTGACACGGATAATGTTTGTTCCACTGAAAACTAAAAATATGTGAGTCTGTAAGGCTTTAACTGTTTTGCCCTTAAATGACAGATTCTTCACACATCTCATGTAAAGTACATTGACTAACATGAAAAGCATCCCAAAATAGAAGTTACAAATAATAAAATAGTTAATCCCAATACAGATATCTAAAAACTATTGAGACATACAGTACTCCAGAGACTGTTAAAAGAGGCAGGTGTTTCATTACATCCCTGTCTTGATCAGCTGTTTCCTTGGTTACCAGGATCCCTGCCTCTTCCAGTGTAATATTTTGTGACTTACAGTCTAAACAGTGTGAAGCTCTTTTCCTTTCAATTAAATGAATTGTGCCCACCTGAAATCTGAGATCTCTACAGAGAATGAATTTCATGCTAACAGGACTCTGTATTGTCTTCATACAGCCCACCCATCCTATCTAGAATTATATAGATTTCACACTTGCAGTAGGCCTAATTTATCTCCTCCTCAGCCCCTAGTAAATGGAGAAGACCATCCACAATTTCTCAACTATAGTACATCCAGTCCTTCTAAAACTTAGATGGCTAAGCAAGTACCATATGGGTGTTTTAAAAAAAGGCACTAGTATTTGTTTGTCAAGAATTATCAGTTGTCCTTGCTACTACAATGTTATCAGTATCTATTGCCTTGACTAAAAAAACTGCTATTTATTCCTGCATCTTATTGTAACAGAAAATAATTGACCAATCCTCAAAGCTGGTTGGCTGCCATGTATTATAAGCAAAATTAATTTTTCTTTCCTTGAGCAAAGGATAAATTTTATCATTTAAAAAGATGGGTTCTACTTTTGTAAAGTCTATTTAGCAACTAAAAATAAATGTTTGCCCTGCAATTAAATAATTTATAATAATATTTCTAAACTGTATTTTGTTATTGCTTCCTAGTTATACAAATCTAGTCTGTAGGTTTATAAAGTGGCAAATGAATTATGCTGAAATATTGGATCATTTGCTTTTGTATAGGAGCCTGACTACCTTAATTAATCATGTGTTGATTTAGGTTGTAGTCAGGACCTGTAATGAGAAATATTTTGTAGACAGGTATTGCAGTTTATTATTTTTTAGCATTCAAGATTGTCAGCTAATGATTGGCATTATAATAGAAATGGAAAGCTACAGTATGTACAGTATGGCAATGACATGTAACTATGAAAATAAGAGAATTGACAACTTTATTTCTCCATGTTTCTTGGGGTCTTTTTTGTGAACATTTTTAAATGAAGTTGCAAGTCCAGGTAACATGGAGGATTAATTCATTAGCTTGTCCCTGCCGAATGTAAAATGAGTTTTAAAATTCATGACACTTGGCCATTATTCCATAGCAATACACAGAAGAGTTTTATAATGAGATGGTTATAGAGATGTAATTAACTTGGCAGCTACAGGTCACATTGCCAGGGCCAGAAAGGCCAGATGGGCAGTGAAAACCCCACCAGCAGTGGTAATGATTGTTATGTCTGTTCATTAGTGCAGAAGAAATTCAGAATTTCCACAGCAAATAAAAAAAATTCAAATAAGACATCTTAAATGTGCTGATTCTGAAAGATTACACATCATTTCCGGTCTACTAGTTAAAACATCTACACAGACCCATGACATATGATCAGAAACACTGTATTATATTGTCATTAGTTAACACATTAATATTGATACAGTATGATTAAAAATGACTTTTATCATCTAAAAGTATAACAAACATTTTTTGTTGTCAGCACTGATTTTGATGTGATTACATTTTATTTGACAAAATTATATGATTTTTAGAATTACCAGTATGTTTTACACGGATATAACAGTTTCAAAGATTTCTTAAGATTCCTCTGCCCTCATTACCATCTATCTTAGCAGTAGAGTTTTAGAAATTCTATATAGATTAACATGGAAAAATATTAGTGTTAACTTTTACTCTTAATCACATTCATCAGAATTTTCTAATGTGTGTTTTACTTTTTCTTAGGGGAAAGACGAACTGTTGTATCGTGCATGAAGATTCTTAACAAAACCATGGCTGTGACAAATGACAGCCATTGCTGGGTGGAGAATCGTCCAGCCCCTCAGGTCAGGCGCTGCAATGTCCACCCCTGCCAGTCAAGGTGAGAACTTACATTTGCCTGGTCAGTTCTACTTTCTACAAGTTCTACAAGTTAGAAATTGAAAGGAATGTTACAATGGAGGCTAAAATACATAAGTTCATACACTATTACAGCACTAAAGGAACTGTTAAGAATGAAGTAAATTATATCCAGCACGATGATGGAAAACTTCTAGGCAAGGGGAAATAGACAATGTTTTCAGTGCATACTGTATTTCAGTCAGGTGTTCACTAAGGAAAAAGTCAACAACATGAGTCGGGCAGAGGAAGGACAAAGTTCTTTCATTAAACAATATTAGCATAGAAGATGCAGAAGTGTGTTGGGTACAAATAGCACTGAAGGTGAATAAATCCCCAGGGCCTGATGGAAAAATGTTATTCAAAAGTCATTGAAGCAACTCTTCTACCAGTTCCTTAAAACAGGCTTACCCAGGGAATGGAGAATAGCTAATGTACTGTATTACCAATCCATAACAAAAGTGTGAAAACTGAACCAAGACTTGCAGACTTCAATTAAGTGCAAAATAACAATTATTAGAACTAAACCTGTTTAAAATTGTTAGCCCAGATTTAGAAACTTTTAAATGCATGACATATGATATGTTGTTTAATTTTCTGAAGACTCTTCCACATAGAGGATTCATTCTCAATTTATTGGTGGTAGGCATTCAGGGAAACATGATTGTTAAGATTCAGAATTTATCATTAAATAGAAAACAGAGGGTACAGATAAGGGCTGGTTACTCAAATTAGGTAGATTTAATTAGGGGAGTACCGCTTGGATCTGTACAAGAACCACTGCTGTTCTTAATTAAGGAAAAAGTTAAGGTTTATTCCATGCTAAAGAGAGAAGAAAGGAAACACAACTTTCGGCTGTGGGGTCTTCTTCGGCTGTGAGAAAGACAGGGAAGTCAGCGGAGATTATATCTTCTTAATTTATATCAGTTATCTTGTTGATGTAATAGTTAATAAGCTAGTCAACTTTCTAGATTATTAGGAAGATTGGCAAAAAAATGAAGCAGCAGCAAATTCAATTCAAGATTTGCTGTAGATAATGCAACCAGTTACGGAGGGCTTGTCACAGTGAATAAGCAGATCAGAGATCTCAGAATATGTGCACCCCGTGTCTTGGTAGACCTGATGAGGGGGCTGTGCTCATCACCGCTCTCAGAGGAGAGTGCCTGGAAATGGAGAAATAGTATGAAAAAGTTCCAAAGCCAGCTGTGAGGGGCATGTTCAGAGTGATGGACACGCCTGTTCGCACCTACAGTGGCAGGCACTACCCCAGTGGGATCACATATTCAGAGATCTCTGGTTTCTCTATGCTACTGTCCTATATGATCTCTTATGAAATTGTTGTAACAGAAAGAGTAAGGTTCTGGATCCCGAGATGAAGTAAAACAGATGAGTTTATTGCATGCAAGGAACAATAAAGCCAAAATCTTGTTTCCCGCAAGAAACAACAAAACCGAAGTATTGTTTAATGTGCCGGTACAAACTTTAGGCTTATATCGTATTTTCTTATCCGCTTCTGACGTCACTCGGTCTTATGGTAAAGAGGGGGGTCATGGTATTTGGCCAGTTAAGAGATCCTGGCCAAATGGTCAGTTTAAGATTACACCCCAGGGGTTCCTAGCTTGCATCTGGAATCCTTATCAGTTAACCCCCTTTCCTGCCATAAACTCCAGCTTGTTGTTTAGAAGTCTAATCTTCATGCAGAAAGGACTTAAAATTAACCCCGTCTTCACATCTTGCTTCAAGATCATTACTCAGGTTCCTTGCATCGCCAAGCCATTTACTAGCGGATTCCTGGACTTGATGAGCTTCACACACAGTGTTCGCCCTCTGGCTCATCCCTTTTGGGGAGTAGCAGTAGATGGCCCTTGACTCAGTCAAACTTGTTTGGCCAGACTCAATGTACCGCTTTCTTTACCTTATCAGCACAACAACATCCAAGGATACTACCCTTTGAGGCCTTCACTGCACCTTGATGACAGTGACACTCTTGTTAGGAGCCTCCTCCACCCAGATGACTCACACTCCACAATGGCTATTGGGTCTCTTACCACAAATCAAGCCCCAGACTTCCAGATCCAATTCTAGCCACTGACATTCTCACGATGCCATCAGGCTTGGTCTCACACTCTCAATACACATATGAGTCTCCAGCATCTCACTCTCATGCTCAGGCTTAAACACACTCTCAATACCAAATCTTCAGCACCTCACTCTCACAGTGAGACTTAATAACACACTTCATTCTCTTCTCTCAGGCTGTGCATACGTAGCTGCCAACGCACCTTTCCCTGTGCCCAGTCCACTCAGCTTTCTCAACCAAATCAGCAGCTCCCACTCAACTCTTATTTACTTCAGAAGTTTACCACTCATTTTCTAACAGAGGTCAGCTGCCAAACGAGCCCTTTCCTTCACCTTCATTCAGCTGACACTGTTGGCCTTTTCTACTTCCTACTTTTCTACTTCCCTCTGAAATTATAGATCTTCCTGGATATTTCTGGGGTTTGGGAACGCACACAGTTTCTCTCCTCAGTCTCCTCCGAGACTGACATGCTCATATCTCGCTGAAAGGAAAAGAAAAGAGACACAATGATTTGGCTCTGGAGCCTTCTTCAGGTGTTAGGAGATAGAAAAACCAGCAGTTAATGAAGCATGGGAGAACAAAAGACAGGGTAGTTAAGAGGAGGTAGTAAATAGGGGAGAAGGATTTTTGACACTTGGGGAGAACTGGAGGAGAGCTGGGAAGTGAAAATCTGCCAGTGAATAAAGAGGATTGAGAGACGAGTCTATCATTGAGAGAACGGGAAAGGTTTGACGCTTGTTTAAGTAAGCCAGAATTACACTGCAGGTTAGTGGAGAACTGAGGTCTTGCCTTGGTGTCCTCTCGGGGAAGTACGACGCTTGCTCTTAAAGACATCTCACTGCTGAATTACGTTAACTCATGATTCTGTTCAGCTGTGGTTGCCTAGCAACACATAGTTTACTCAACAAGGGCTCCGCCTCAAAAAATGGTTTTACAACGATTATACGAATACAACAATTTCGTATTCTGTTGTGTCTGCAAGCATCCTTACAAACATGTTCAGTATTATCTACAGTATATACTGAGATAGAGCATACTGTAGTTTGGTACATGTATATTTTATTAAATACTGTGATTACAGTATTTTGTTTTCTTATAAAAAACTGTTGTCTGTTCATAGGCTACAGTATATAGAATTAAAAGAAAATCTTAATTTATTTTAATTGAATGATTTTTACTGATATCTGTCATGTTAGTTTTCTTTATTTCTTGCAAAGGGAAATGCTTTTTATAATCTTAAACTTCATTTCCTTAAATTTTTATTTGAGAAAATAGACTTTCTCCACACTGATTGACCTCAGCTGGAAGCCACTCAGTTATTCATCCTTTTTTTGCCTCATTTGCCTAAACATATTTTATTCCACTATCTAGTCTCAAACTCAAAGACATTTAAGTTTTTTTTAATAAGAATGCACTTCATTAACAGCAAGTAATCAAAATAATTTTTACATATTGTTGTATGGTAATGGATTTTCCTTTTAAACCTGGTAGTTGTAGTAAAGTTATCTAGCTTACCTTTTGATATAATCTGTCAAAAGATATTTAGATTTTTTGTTTTAATAGCATTTTTACATAACCCAGTGAAAAATCACAGCGACAAAACCACATTATAGGAATCTGTTAAAAAATATCAGACCTTTAACAACAAATTACAGATCATTAAGCATTCTTCATTAATAAAAGTAGGCAGAAATACAATATTATTTTAGAACATTAATTTGTAAAGAAAACAGTTTAACATTACAGATCATTAAGCATTGTTTATTAATTAAAATATGCCGACATACAATGTTTATTAATCACAAGTCAACATTTGTTGAATTTTTATTTCATGCGTGTTTTGTGGTTTGTGACTTGCACTCTTTTTTCTGGGTGCTCTTTTTAATTTAAATATACATATATTTTAGTATGAATATCATAGTCTCTGGGGAGACTGTTCTTGATATTTGAAGAGGAACCCAGCACTTGTTGGTCTGATTTCATTATAGCCCTTAAAATGCCTAAAAATGCCAATATTGGTATCCCTGTGTGTTGATACATTTTTCTGAGGCATTATGTTCTGAAAACCTACTTACTTCACTCTAACCTACCACGTATGAGTTGTTTGTTCACAATGACATACATTGACCTGATTAGATCTCATTTGTCATTGTACCTGAGTCCCTCCTATGCTGATTTAGTGTAGTCTTCTAATCAAGAAACATCAAGTGTGAACAGAAAAAAAAATGTTTAAGATCTTTTGGACAATCTGGATAAAAAGGTTTCTTGTGTTTAATTCTAATAGATTATTTAGTAGATCAGAGAAATAAGGTGTTGGTTTCTTTTATCATGGGAGCTTCATTATTTATTAAAGGAGGGTAAATGATAACAGTGTGTTGGTCAGCGCTCCATTTGCATTCCTAAGCACCTCAGTTCAGTTTTAGTGAGTGAGTTTTATGCCTGTTTGCTCTGACCTGCAGTGATGATTGTGGTCTCTCCTGTCCTGTGATTGGCAGGTGGGTAGCAGGCGAATGGGGCTCCTGTTCTGTCACCTGTGGAAAAGGGCTCCAGCTGCGGGACGTGTATTGTGTGTACCAGCTGCAGAACGGCTCCTACATTAACACCCGAGACCTCTACTGCCTGGGGCCCAAGCCCGCCATGGTGCAGGGCTGTGAGGGTCGGGACTGCCTCACAGTCTGGGAAGCCTCCGAGTGGTCCAAGGTATGACTTTCCCACTGCAGACTGTAGGGTGTTTATTGTGAGAAGCAGTCTCTCTGGGTTTCCAAAACAGAGAGAAAAATGAAGCATCTACAGAAGACACTGCTCGGATGTTAGCATTGTAAAAGTAGAATTTCTTCCCTGAGGAGTTCCCTTTGTTTTTCATTTTGGAAGGAATTTCTATCCAATGCACTTATATGTGTGTATAGTATATCTAAAGTTTGCACAACCTGTTGTTTTAAAGGAAGGCATTTTCAAAATTTTCTTTAGAATGTTAATCCAAACTGTTTAAGGGTATGGTTCTTAGGTCAGGGTACAATGTGAAATGACTTATTTTTACCTTTAGAGGACAGTGTGGCAGTGTTTACATTCCAATAAACAAATGTAATTCAAACCAGATGGTAATATACAATAATAATAATTGCTTACACATACAGTATAAGCACTTTTATGGACACTCCACTCAAAGCGCTTTACAGGTAATGGGGACTCCCCTCCACCACCACCAATGTGCAGCCCCACATGGATGGTCCGACGGCAGCCATAGTGCGCAAGTATGCTCACCATACATTGGCTATAAGTGGGGAGAAGAATAGAGTAATGAAGCCAATTCATAGATGGGGATTATTAGAAAGCCATGATTAGTAAGAGCCAATGGGAAATTTGGCCAGAACGCAGGCACCTTATTTTACAATATAGTGACCCCGTAACTGTACTTGGGCATTAGCACCCACACAGATCGCAGGGTGAGCTCCCCTTGCTGGGCCCCATTCAAGGTCTCCCATTCAGGTACTGACCAGCTTCAGTGGGCTGCCAGTTGTGAGTTGCAGGGTGCTATGGCTTCTGGCCTAACTTAAGATATAAGTACGTTACAATAAAGTGAGAGTATAGGGATGTTTATGTATACAGTATTTCCAGTATGATTCTTAGATTTGTTTTTATAGTAGATGCTCATGGCAAGTAAACTAAGGAAACATCTTTTAAGATGTATAATGATTTTTCCAGATGTTTGAGCTCTTCAATATCAATATAAGGTTTCTCTTAAGGGCAGGTATTCATTAATGCTAATTCTAAAATGTATGGGCTGCTCACATGTCTAATCAACAGATAAGCAGTTCCAAAGTGTGCTTTTTAAAAGTAAGTGGCACTGCACCGTTCACTCTGCACACCTGTCAGTCATAGCGCATGTCAATCAGTATTCTCCTAAATTTGCAATGTTGTTTCAGATTTGCCAAAACCCACTCTAGACTCACCTGAAACATAGAGTCTGCTGTTAAACTTAAACTGCTGCACATTTTCAGATGTACTCTTTACAAGCTCCACAAACTCTGCTAATGAAATGCTGCTTGGTGGATTTGTGACATGATCCATGCTTAACAGAATGGCTCCACATTTTTCCTCACTAGTGATTTAATAATTTTGATGAAATAGTATAGAATATCTTTGTTTATTGATCCCAGTCATTTGCATGTTAATCATTCAGTTCCATAGTTCCAGACAATGTCATGTGAAATGCTTTTTAATTTAATTTCACTCACATAAGCCAGGGAAAGTTGGACATTCACTTTATCATCATCAACAGATGTAATAGCTTGAATGTCCACATGCTTTTACTAGTGGAATGCAACCTTATCTTATTAAGAAGAACACAGGGACATAACATTAGGGAAATGTAACAGAGCAGCTGAATCTTAGAATGCCTGTGTAAATTTAATCCACTAGAGGGCGGATTAGGAATGCTCCAAAGGGAAAATAAATGTAGTCCTACACATAAGTTTGTAAGAGAGAAATCAAACGCAGATGATTTTCAATAGGTTTCTCTATAAATACGTAAGGAACACAGGAAGAGATAGATCTTGTTGTGATATCAGTCATTTGGTTAGGTTAGTTTTAGAGTCAGCACCAAAGTGAACATTTGATAAAACCTGTTCACCTGTCAGGTTATTGGTTTTGGTTTGTTAGACATAGGTTAAACTTTTAGCTACCACAAATGTGCTTCTTTTGAAAAACGAGGTACAATATAAACTCTCTGGTGGATGGAGCCACTTCAGCTGCTGGTTCAGGTCAAAGGAACCCAGCTTAGTCCATTTTACTGCCTAATTTTACTCATTCAGTCTCTTGTAAGCAGAACTGTTACTATGTTGATCGACACGAGGTTGCGAAGTTGCCCAATACTATGACACTACAGTGATGAAGTTGTATTCCTGAACAAAGCTGTCCTTAAGTGTTTCCAAAATCTTATACATCAAGACCTAATTTATGCAGAGGGTTCACAGGATACATGAAGATTGCTCATAGAGGTGCTCATACATCACTCTTTCATTGCTATCATTGTCATTATTTGATTATTTAGAAATTTAAGCAGAATGTCCTGTACTACAGGCCTGCTGTAAGCTAAAAATGTAATGACAGCTGATTATGCAAAGCAGAAACTTTTCTTAGTGACAGACATAACCTTTTTTATACCACTAGTAAGAAAACCATGGATTAGTACTCCAACTCTGAATCCAATCATCATAGAAAATAAAGCGCTAAAACTGAAAGCAGCTCCAGAACCGTAACTGAGTCTAAGAAATGCAGTAATATCCTTGTTTTAGAAGTCTGCTGAAAACAGAGAGGCACAAACTTAGGGTTTGTTCTCAGAATTTTTTTTCTTGTGTAAACATTCCATTTGAAAAAGTTGGACAATTGAAAGTTACATGAATCTTTGACAGAATGTAAAAAGCTGTGGTGCATTTCCATCATCTGCCCAATTAAGACATAACCATCGACTCAAAGTCAGGTTTCACAGGAAAGAGTTTAAAGTATTCTGTTTTTTACGGTATGTACTGTATAGTATGTGAGAAGTGGTGCTTGTCAAAGGATGAGTTTTTACTAATAATAGAGGATCAATATACAGATGCAGCCATTCAAAATGCATGGTAAAACACTGTACCATGTGAAATTATCTACAGTTTAGCGCGTTATCACAGTAGGTGATTGGTTGGCCAAAAAGACCGACAGTGGTGCGGCGGACCGACTCATGGTGCATTGGTTGTTAGTAAATCGATTGCGTCATTTAATCTCTTTACTGTGCATGTTTAAATCTGCCTAATATTGAATATTAATATGGAATTTTACAACTAAAGGGAATTTTTAGTAATTGAGCATAAAAAGAAAAGGAGCATAAAATGTCTGAAGGTCATAAATGATGTTAATTTAGGAATATTAACACTTTATGTAAACTGTAATTGGCTGGTATTGGTAGTTTAAATAAAAAAACCCACCAGTTTTCCACTTTCTTCATGAACATTTTAAGCATCAAAGTCTTTCATTCGGTTACATACTGTGGTTATTTTGGAAAAGTTTTTACATGCTCCTTCTGACTATATTAAGTTTATTTACTTCATAAAAAGTGATAATGTTTTAACCTTTTCTATGAATATTTGCACTCGTAATCACAGTAAAAAATGCATACTTTATAGAATTTGATTAACAGGGAAAATAATATGGAATCACTTATCTAAAGAAATTATTAACGATATAATTATATTCATATAGTTCAAATTATTACAGTAGTACACTTTCTTTGTAAAAATCTGCATCAATTTGACTCATTCACTAGCGATTACTTGGAAACTTTTTGCCTGACCTGTTCAGTTATAGCTTAAGTTGTAAAATAAATAAAAAAATGTTTTCCACATTGTCACCTCACACCAGGAGGGAAGGAAAAGTGCCTCATTCAAAGGGTGTGGTGTGTTAACACAAACTCTGCTTAACAGAGCTGCTTGTAAGAGCAAGGTGACTTTCTTCTCAATTAAATAAAGCTACAATACAGACAGATTCAGATCTACTGTTCCAAGGCCGTATGGTTTCAAAGTATGTGTGAAATATCTTTTCTTACTCCAGAAAGAATACTCTTTCTTACTCTAATTCAATCTATTTGTACACATCCGGCTCTGTAAAAAATATAGCCAAAAGGATTGCTGTAAAGGTTAAATTCCAAGCTGAAAAGACAAGACTCAACGTGTCTTCTCTAACTCTTAAGTTTACAGCTCGTCCATGGTCATTCATTATTAATATTGTAACGAACGGCACGTAAACAGATGATACCGGTTGCAGCGTGGTGACAGTACAGCACTCTTTTTTCCCTCATTTAACTTAAAGAATTGCGTGAAGAAATTCTAAATCACAAAACCATCACTTATAATAATTCATCCAGACACACTCACACCATAGCCAACAACAAGCTGTAATAGTTGACTGTTTTTATATATTCAGCTATGTAAGAAACAAAATAATTCTCTGATCGGGCTTTGAAAAAATTCAAAAAGGAGCAAAAGCCACTCGTCCTAAACCTGACTTGGGTCATAAATTCCAGCGCTGATCTTACAAATGGACTAATAAGAGTGTGAATGCTAGCACTTACCCTAACTGGGCTGTCAATTGAGCATTTCCACATTCTATATATGAACTTCTCTAGACATCAGATTTTGACATGTTCCCCAAACCAAAAATGATGATTGGGAAACAATCAAGACCATTGATCAAAGCACTTGCAAGTGAATGAGATTCAATAATGCTTGGTTTCAACTTAAGATCTGACCGACTCAGTTTTGGGATACAATTACCATGTGGTGCTCCTCACCATCCAAGGCCCAGAGAGTTTCAGAAAAAAAAATTGAGATAGGAGCAAACACCACTGGTCCTAAACCTGAATTGGGTCCCAATATCCAGTGCTGATCTTAAAAATTGTCTAAGTAGTATATGAATGCTAACCCTAACCCTGTCTGCGCTGTCAACTGAGCATTTCCATGATCTACAGTATAAACATGACAATGGAATATTTCACACGGGTTTTTAGAATAGAAGATTAAATATTCCCCATGTTATAGAATTTCTTTTGGTATTGGCTACTTTTAACATAACTAATACTGAGGTTCTACATGGGATGGAGCAATTAATACATTACCAGGATTTTTACGGACATTGCTAAGACAATGGATGTTCTTCAAGCTAGGGTATTTCACCTCTCACTTAAAATGTGATTGATTTGACAATTGCAGATCTAACACCAATTTTTAAAAAGGAGGGCAGAACTGAACCAAATAACTATAGAACAATCAGTCTTACAGGTATTGCTAATTTTGGATAATACCTAGAAATCAATTACTTTTAAGGGAAAGCCGACATGGATTTTGAAATGGAAGGTCTTATTTAACCAATTCATGAGAAATTTTGAAGCAAGCAATAAGAGTTTTAGACAATTTCTGCAGATTTGTTTTAACTAATACATCATTGAATGATCTTGTTGGTATTCCAATACCCTGCTACTGATTTATTGATCTGATTTATTTTACGTGCAGTTTTGGGCTAAATAGTGGTATTTCTTATTTTCTGTTGTAGTTCAGTCACTGATTCATGTATTTTGTGAGATGCAGTTAAGTACTTTGTTACAGATATTTTATTGTAAATTGTTAACCAAAACTGCCTTGGTCAGTGCTCCACAGACTACAACAAAAGCGCCCACAAAGTTGGCTTTTCTAGACTATGCTCTATAACGTATTTTTTTCAGAGGCCACTGTGCTGAAAATCAAACTCATTAAAAAATAATTACATTTTGAATAAAAGTTTGGCTTTCTAACCACCTCCTATTCCTTTACAGATGTCGTCGTTCACCTCAGACGGCCATGATCACACTGATCTCTCCGTCTCTGTTCTCAAAGAAGGGTTTCTCAACTCCCATAGCAGAAAAACAACAGAAACGAAACTCATCCTGAAACTAGGTTCACACCATCCCCCTTCTCTCAATGACTCACTTGTTTTCATGTAATCTTCTCTATTCTCATGCAGGTTTTGACTTCACGCTTCTGCACTTTGTACTTCCTGAGTGGCCTCTCTGCCTCCCTGCTCCTCCTGCCTCCTTCCCTCTCCCAGCTTTTGTTCTTCTGTGCTTTGCTGTCTGCCCTGTCTTTCTCACACCTGAAGAAGGTTTCACAGCCGAAACGTTGTGTTTTCTCTATTCTCTTTTCAGCATGGAATAAATCTATTACTTGTTCTTTTGCAGACTATGCATGTTGACGCAGCTACCCACCTGAATTACATTTTGAAGCTCCACTGAAATGAATATTTTGCTAAATGTCTATTCTTTATATCAACAAAAAAGGAATTACATATACACTACAGACTAACTTGTAATTGTGCATGTTTTACTCTAAAATCTACAGTTCAGACATTTAGTTTTATCCGGGAAAGTGCACCTGTTTTCTCCAGTCTTTTCATTTACCAATACCATACTCGTGCTGTAGAGAACAGCTGTGCTAGAGGTGCCTATATTCATTTCTGAGCTAAATGATCCAGTTTAGGACTGACAAAGATACAGTAAATCTTCTGTCATCCCTCCTGGATTTTATCTGTCAATTTGAAGGGATTAGGTCCTTTTTATGCTTATCATAATACATAGTCATTAAGAAGAGCCCTTTTTGGACGGGTGTTAAAACCATCATTAGTATATCTATAATTCCAATAAGATGTACATTCCAAACTTTGTGAGAACTATCATTTCATCTCTCTGATTTGCTCGGATGCCAAGCTATATGCTAAGATATTTTCATGCAAGCTAGAGGCATATATTATATGTTCAAATTAGTTCCCATGACCAGACCAACTTAATTAAAGGTGTCCTTGCTCCTGAAGTTTGCTGCCTTCTGCACATGATGGATGCCAATACAGACATTGTCTCCCCCTGTGCCATTCTGTCATTAGATGCTGAAAAGGCTTTTGATCAGCTTTGCTATTTATAATTGGCCCTTGGAACCAGGTTTTATATTTTCTTAATTAAATTTCACAGTGGAGTGTCTATGACTGTAATACTGTTCAAATACCTTAGACACCTTAGAATTGAGTTACTTTTCTTTACATGCAATTACAACAATGATGATAATGAAGCTCAAAGTGCTGTATAATGGCCCACACAATAAACAATAGAAACAAAAGTGAAAGAAAAACTGTACAACAAATAAGACTAAATCACACATTACCTTTGGTTAAAAGTCTTAGTTTTGACAATGTGAGCAGTTGCAGAATCTCTAATGGATTTGGACTCCACAGCCGTGGTGCTGCATATGAAAAGCTTAGTTGTCCATTGTGTGGAGGCCAGACTTCAACTAAGTAAGAATGCAAGAACCCATAGATCTCAGGTTAAGATTTTCATAGTGCAGTAATTCCTAAAGATAATCCTGTGTTTAGATGTGAGGAAAAGAAATGTAAAGTCTACTCTAAATTTTCCTGGGAGTAAGTGCAATTTCAAAGCATGTGACTGATACAGAGTACTTCTATCTTACATGGGCCACTGAATTCTGGACATAGAAAAGCCTTTTAGTACCTTAGAAGATTTTTCAGTAAGCAAGGCTACCATTGTCTTAACTTGATTAAATAAATGCATGTAGAAATATCTCAATATAAGACAGACAAGGATAAAAAAATAGCTTTTTTAGCCAGGTAAACACTGACATGAACAAATTGACTATTTTAACAAATTTACCAAATTCTCTTCAAGCTCACATATTTTTTAAATAAAATCAACATGCATCTTTTTTATTCTATGATTTCTATATCTTTATATGTACACTATGCATTCTATTCATGAATGGGACTGCATTCTGGAATTACAGAATTCATACGGAATGGAAACGACTGCAATGTTAAATATTCCATTCTACATCAGGAAAGTTCTTCAGGAGGCCTGGCTTTATTTATACACTTCTGTTATGCATGCATTGTCTGTATTGTTTAACCCTGAAAGCCTGATCTTTTCATAGTAATCAAAATTTGATTTATATTGAGGTATTTCTTAGATAATTATAAATTACTGCGCAGTTAATTTCCCTATTTTGTACATGTGCAAACTGCATACACGCAATTCCCATTTCTCTTTTCCATACTGAAGTGACAAAGGAATTCACATTTTAACAGATATTTTTAACTGTTATGGTCTTTGCTCATTCAGGATGTGTAATTGCAACATGAGCTTCTGGCTTTCCTTCCCATTCTGCAATGTGTGTTTATGGTGTCACCTGGGGGGTGGCCTCAGGAGCAAAACAAAATGGCTTCCTACTGTCTGTCTTTTTGTAACAATCTTCATATAAACCCACTTACATTTCCTTCAAGGATACAAGATGTATCCAACCCCAGAGTTGTATCATAAGTATCATTATACCTCTTTTGGGACTATCTGTAGGTTGCTGAGATCTGGAAACTAGTCTTTTCTTGTTTGCTACATGTATTCTGCATAGGAATATATTGTGATGGCACATGGTACAATGCTACATGGTGACTCTAATCTGGGATTTATGCAGCTACAGAAATTAATTTGTTGATATGCTGTGACTGTGGCTGAAAAGATGCCTGAGAAAGTTCTTAGGTAGAAACATAGAGGAGAGTAACACTGAGGGGGGTGAGTAAGGTGTGCATATGGAGTAGGCAAAATGTTATTCTCTTGTCTTTTTAGTTGTAATTTGTTGGAAAACACAATAAGATAAAAAAGTAAAATAACTTTGGAGCAGAATAATCATAGTAGAATACAGCATATGCCCACTGCAGTGATTATGGAGGGGGATATGTTATTATTCAACATTAAAAACTGCACATCATAATGAGCAATTGTCCTTCCAAAAAAGTTCTGCAAAAAATGCAGTAGTTTCCTATTATGTCAGGGATCACTAAACTACTAAACTACTCTCCTAGAAGAGTGCTGTACTCCATTTTATTAAAAAAGCAAATTTTCTGTAAGAAAAGGTTAATGCAATGCAACACTGTTACCGGAGGGGGTTCTTTAATGAGTAACACTGTCCCCGTCTCCACCCTGTCTTGGTCAGTGCTCTACAGACTGCGGCAAAGGCACCCACAGGCGCACCGTTTCCTGCAGCAACCCCCAGGGAAGATGTGACCCAACCACCCGGCCTCCTGAGGTGGAGGAGTGCGAGGATCACTCTAAGTGTTATGAGTGGAAGACTGGAGAGTGGTCAAAGGTATGGTAAAGTACAGGAAAGCACACTCAGTCCTCTCTCAAGCTTGCGATAATTTTGGTCTCATGCATTCTGGGGCATTTTCACACATTTTTATAGTGTTGGTATTTTTACATATACTTTCAGACCATAACAAATGCATGTGCTTTAAAACCACATTCCCTGTATCAGAAGAAAAGAAACAAACTAGGGGGTTTGGGAAGAAACAAATCACCTGCTTTTTAGAACTAATAAAAATTGTAATTAATTGCTTTTAACCTTTTTTTATGCAAACACCGGGTCAAGTACTGTATACCCACTAAAAAAAATACACAATTACAGAAGCATCTGGTGCAAAATGCTCAAAAAACAAATAATACATTTGTTAACAAAGACAAAATTTTGCCATCAACAGAGGTATTGTAACCAGAGTTACTTGGACCACAGCTCATGTTCACAATCAGAAACCATATCTCTTGGCATGTCCAAGGAGAAACCTCCATTTTCTTACTCGAGTTTGTGTTTCTTTCTTGCTGAAATCATTAGTGTTTCTTAAGCTTCTTAGCTGTTAGACTTAGAAATAAAGATAATGATAAAAAATGAATACATGCAATCATTATAGGTATTGTATTTACAAAATCTCAATCCTGCTTAAATTAATTTAGCCTTGAGGTATGTAAACAAAGTGCAATTGAGTGCAGCTCAACCAAGATCAGACTATATCCTGCAGCACACTTTGCTATCAAGCTAATATACACACATAATTAAAAGATAGCAAACATTCTAGTTTAATTAGTAGTGAAATTATTCTTGTAGATCCTGCAAAGGATGTAATCCATATTCATATATTGCACATGCTCCTCTGTAGAACCTCAACTCGTTTTCTCCAGTTCTTTGAAAGCCTTCCTGGGTATTCATATTTTTTTCTTTCAACTCTGAAGCTCAAGCTCTTACTTCAGATATTCCCAGTTTTATTTGTTGAGAAGTATGTGTTTCATTGACACAACTGTTTTCGGATTGTCTGGTTTAGCTTCTTCAGTATTTCTGGTTATTTCATCTGTATTAGGACAAATGGGGTGCGGGGCAGCAGGAAATTGGAAAGCCAGAGCAAGACTAATTGAAATATGCCATTAGAATGCACCAGGTCATTTGATACATGACTTGTGAGGCTGACATCTGCAATAGATTGCAGATGGCATGATTTTCAGAGGTGCTGCCCTAATGGGGTCTGACATGTTTTGTTTGCAGTTCTACTGGAGATCTAGTGCCTATGTTATTAACACAGCTGCTTACTAACGTCATGCATTCAAAATACAACACACTCATGTTTTACACAGTAGTTAGGTTCCTGTCATAGCACAGAATCGCATATAACAAGAACGCCCACTTACAGTAGATCCTCCTATTTCCCTCCCTTGAACAAATTAAATCAATCATAAGTGTATTACTTCAGGTGGGTAGCTGCTTCAGCATGTGTAGGCTGCAAAGGAACAAGTAATAGGTTTATTCCATGCTGAAAAAAAAAGAAGAAAGAGAACACAACATTTTGGCCGTGGAGCCTTCTTCAGGTGTGAAAAGGCATAGTGGGTCGCAGCAGCAGCTGTAGGCGGTAGTAGTTCAGGTGGGTAGCTGCGTCAGCATGCGTAGGTGTATGTATGTAGTATTACGAAAACAGTAATGCAGTAAATACAATAATGTACAGTATACAAAATAGGTCAAATAAAATTTAATATAAAAATGCAGGGAACAATGCAGATGCATAGCTGTCACAAATAGCCTTCTGTAGTGTAAGAATGAATTTCTGCAAGGCCTTCTTCGCCACACACAGAGCTATTCCTCTTATTTTGCAGATCTGAAAAGTTCCTTATTGCAGTAGATGTCAGGTTTATATCAAATTGATCATTTTTCTTTCATTAATCTCAAATAATTAAGGGAAATGCATTTGGGATTATACAAAGATAACTATTTTACCTTAGAATACTTTTACTGTACCGTACATGTCTTTTGATAAGGATGGTTTTTTGCATAAACTTCCCTGAAGGTGGTAATAGCTCATGGCCAAGGTAAAACAATTGTGCCCTATCTCCTTTAATTTGCAAATTCTGCTAGTGCATTAAACAGAACTCTTTTAGATCTTTAAACCCAATTCAGACCCCTTTAGTTCAAACCCAATAAGACATAGCCTGTACTCAACACTGCCAGGAGATGTGACGCTTTTCCAGATCAAACAGTGGACTCCCACATTGCTTCTGAAAGGTGTCTACTTTTCCATATTTCCTAAAGAAATCTATGCTGATTCATTTGTTAAATTCCTTGTGAAATGTATCACATTCCTTGTTAACATTTTAGAATTGAAGAGGCACCCGGCCAGTTTTATGGAATTTCTTACAGTGCATTTCAGCTTGTGCCATATTTTGCAGAAGGAAAATGAGTGGAAACAAATTTGTCCTTACTTTGTAGACTCAAGGGCAGTACATTGACCATGGGACTGGAACAATAACACATTTTTTTCATTTAACTGAGGCTGGAATCTTGATGTAGTGTCCTTGCTTTTTAAACTCGATAATAATCCGTAAGAAAATATTTAAAGTCTGTCATCTGTTTTGTAACTCCACAGAGTATACACCCAAATCACATCTAATCTTGGATGATGAATAAATGTTAATTGCACTTTTAATTCATTTACACTGTTAGGTACTGTTCTGTTACTGTTCTAGATCTGTTACTGTGACAGATCACCCTTTGAAGTTAGCTGAGTGTGGAGAATCTGCACACATTAGAACCCTTATTTATTCGAAATAATGTGGTGACTGGACCAACACTGTTATATTTTAACCTTATTGAGTCTTTCGGAATTCGGTACTCCGAAATTTCGGAATTACTGTATTCACCTTTCTCCATCTTGTACCTTGAGAATAAGTAGCAGTGAAATTAAAATGTTTCCTCAACCAATTGCGGAACCACTCTACTGCTTTCATTACCTTACTGGCAGGCCAGCACAGCAACGACTGAGGCTGCTACTCCATGAGAGATTTCCCTCCTCTCCTCTAGACCATTTCTGTCTAGGAGTCTCCCTACTCCCTGAAAACTAGATGGAGCCTTTAACCTTCCACTTCTAAACAACTATCTCTGTAACCTCAACCAAATATCTCACCCAAACCTGAGCAAACCATTATTAGAATTCCCAACGCAAAACGTCTAAAAGAAAGACCCAATCTCTTGCTAAAATCTGAGCCGACTTTTCCCTCAGACAGCCCTGTCCTTTCCCTAGAATAGTCTGTCCGTAAACCCCCCCCCCCCCCCCCCCTTTGGGATTGCTGCTGTACAACCCGTACTTTCTGGGATTTGATCTTCACCCTCTTGGTATCTCACTGCAAGACCCAGATTCTCGCTGCCACAGCTGACTGCAAGGATATTACCCATAACTCTAAGTCTCACTGCAAGACCTAACCAGGAGTCTTACTTCAGAAATCTTGTAACTGGGCTCTCACTGTGAGACTCATTAGCTCACTGTCACACCTGACACTGAGGGTATAACCCAAACCTGAGCAAAAACCATCTTCTCCCTGAACCCTTATATAGGGAAAACTGGCCTCACACAGGTGACACCCTTTATAATTTATTAAATATTTTAGATTACATTTTCTCTGTGTATCTGAAGTATTTTTATTCCTTCCACTGGTGGACTAACCCATACTTTACACTCTAGATCCAGCTTGTTTTCTATACTTACAGTGAAACAGAACAGAAACTAGAAAAAATAATACATGGATCTCAGTTTGCCCTTGTTCAATTAAGGTGAAGGACAGAGTGACAACATGGAATCCAGTAATTAGACTAAAACTGAATTTAAAAATTATGAAGATGAAAGCAACAAGACTATGGTATCTATCAACATTATAAAAGTACACAAATACTGTAGCCAATTTTGTTGGGTGATTTGTACATACAGGTAACCATTGCCATTATAGGCTTAGGGAGCCTAGAGGAAATGTATTTAGAGCAAGACCAAGCAGGTACTGTAAATGGTATCATAACAGAGAACGAAAGACTAGTTACATGATCACCAGGAACAAAAATGTCATGGGTCTCCCAGACTGTATTACTTGGGACACAAAAATGTTCTACCATTCCAAGTTTTAAATGTATAAGAGTTCCAGACACTTGCTGTCTGAGCCTGGTATCTTCCGTACTCATAAATACTGTATAAGAAATGCATTTAGTAAATATTGGTATTTGGGCATTAATCAGTGAACACCATCTTTAGGAAATACAACCCTATGAATATGAATAATCATGTCATTAAAACATTTCATTAATAATACATTAATGATACTAATATATAAACTAGCTTGGCAATGATTTTTACTAAGTTTTACAGGTTATTGGTTCCAAATTTGCTTTAACATATACTTAGCAAATTACATCCTTTATTTTTTAATTACCTTACCAACCCATAATCAGTATATGGCTTTCTATGGGTATTCTAGAATTGCAATGATATTTACTGTGTAAGGATTTATAAGATTGTGCCATGCAAGGGGTTCTTTTTGCTAGAGTACATAGAGGTCTTAATTATGTTCCATAATGGCCTACATTATGCACTTATTATGGTGTTATACATAACTTTTATTTGATCAGAGGGACAAGTCAAAAGTCATATACTGTACAGCTAATACAATCATGTGGTTAATCAGCTGTATTCAGTTGTGAACTGTAATTACCATAGCCTACTATTACTTTGTAATTATTCATCAGCCATTTGATCAAATTATGAGATATGATTGGCTTAAAGCAGCTATGTATTTTTTTTAATATAGTAATTTGTTACATCAATCTTGATGAATAAGGTATCCTGGATGCATACACAAAGATTCATTTCAATCATCCACATACTCAGAGAAAATGTTCCTTGAATGTTTTTTTTAACAAATCCAGAATGATGGACATACCGTTGTATTTCCATTGGTTGTAAAGAAGAATCATTTTCAAAATTGTGACCTCCTTCAGTAAATTCATGGTAT